TCTGCATTTCAAAATTTGAAACCAATTTATCGTGAAAATTTTTAGAGAATATCGAGTAATAGGATAATCACAGTAAAACAAAATAGACTGGGAAGAATAAACCTTTTTTCAAGTTGATTCACATCTTGAAATTGAGTGTGAATTTGGAATATTTCCTTCCAAAATAAGTCCCATTAATGATCTGGAAGTAAGAGATTTAAGAGTTTCGGAAGAAAGAAAAAAGAAATGAAATTATAAATGATACTTAGCCTTTAAAGCAAGCCATTTTTTTTTTTGAAGACACTTCCAAAAGCATCCAAAACAGGAGCAGCGATTGTTGTTGGGAGTTGCTATTGTTTTATGACTAATAATCATTTAGTTCTAGTTCTAGTTCTGGTTTGTTTGTTTTTTTAGCCCATCTATGCCCAAGTAGAGGTAATGAAAACACGTACTGGGAATAAGGCCTATGAGAAACTGAAAAGAAAAATGAAGAAAAGGAAAATGAATAGTAAATGGAAATGATGAAAACGAGTACGCAATTTTGAAAGCCAATGATCACATAGTGTACAAATATTACGCATTAAAATGTGATTTCTAAAAATAATGTTGGATTATCAGAAAGAAAAGGATAGCTCAGCTCAGCCTAGCTGATGGGAAGTGATCAAATTTTGCGGAATTTCTTGAGAATGTGTGAAGATGGCGATGATGGGGATCGAGTCCGCTTTGCGTTTCAAGCGACTTGTGACGTCAAAAATGTACCCTAATTCAGCTGATGGAGTTCCTGCTGGGCCTCGACCAGGTGGATCCTGATTCCACCAGAAGGAGTGAGAGCCCGAAACAGAACCGATAACCGGAAATAGAACTGATAACTGGAAACAGAACTTGAGCTAGGTTAAAAAATATATGTCGAAGCCGATTATGAATTTCAGCCGATTATGAATGAGTGGGAGCGTCCAAATGGAAGTCCAAGCATCGACCAGCAGTAGCCTAGGAGTGTTCAACCAGTGCATACCCTGGGTCAAGCCAGAACCAGCGATATTGATAGTGCACTTTAAAAATTAGAAAGATTGGATAAAAAGAAAAAAATTATGGGGCTTCAAAGTTTTCTCTTGAATAAACAGTTTTTTGCTCTAATTTTTTTTCTTTTATCAAATTTCAGTAATTTTAAAAATTTAACATATTTAATAATGATTCTGCGTTGAATGATACTAAATACTTGATGATTGACGCCTTAGACCCACTTCATTCATAATCGGCTACGGGGAAAGCCGACGATTTGAATGAAACGTTGTAGCGCTGGCAATTTTTAAACTGAACGCACAAATTTGGTACCAATCGACGCAGAATTTAATTCACTACAAAATGGAATAATTGGTACGTGGGGGGGTTGCTCTACTAGAAAGATTTTGCCAAAAATTTCATTCATAACTGGCTACGGCATATAATAAACTTTTATGCAGATTGATTACTAATTTAATTTCTTAACACTAGGAAGCCTTAATTTTAGAAATGAAAGAAAAGAAATAACTAATGTATATTGTAATACTAATGTAATAAAACTGATGATTTTTGTAAATGTTTAATGATTTTCAATGTCAATGTTTAATGATTTTCTAAAATAGTTTTTACGAGATTTGGAAAAGCTCTGATTTTAGAGGTTTGGTTCTTAGAGGTCGAAAGAAGCTGAGGGAACGGAAAACGGTCTGATAAAAGTGAAGTTGAACGTCTCGATAAAGGAAAAGTGATTTTGAGCACTTTTCACAGAAACCTATTTTTGTGTTATTAGAAAAAAGATAGATCATAAAAGTTAGGCATTCTCGTCAAAAATATTTGACAAATTTTTTTGCTCAAAACAATTTCTCAACTCTGATTTGTCTAATTGCTTTAATTATATGTCTATTTGAAGAATTTTTCACAAAATATTGAACATCTGCGCAAATTGGTTTCAAAACGTTTTCTAAATTTCTCTCAAAAGATCGCAAATTGGGCTAAAAGCAACTTTTATATTTATATGAGGAAAATTATTGGTGCTATCTGAATTTTATTGGTGCTATTTATAAAACAAAAACTATTGGGTTGTCCAGTTATGAGCGCAAGGTTTTTTTACTATTTTGTAAATTTTTCAAGATAGATCTCAAGATAGATCTCAAGATAAATATCCCAAAGATTTCTCACAGATTTGAGTATGAGTGTTAAATAATATCATTCGAAATGGAGATCTCCCCCTCTTACATTTTGATACAAAAAGTTCTTGAATTTGTCCAGCTTTTGGGCACAATTGACTGCACAGAAGAAGAGGTGGCCAAAAAAATGGAAGGGTGTCTTGGGATCGGTTTTGGGGCTTTGTTCAAATTGAGTTAACTGTTCGATGTTTGGCCAATAGATATATCAATACAAGTTTTTTTTGAAATATAACAATTTCAGAGCATCTTTATTTTTCTTTTCTTTTCAAGTATATTTTACACCATAAAACTTGAGGAATAGCTAAGCTGGTTTGGGTTTTTTGCAAAACGACTTTCCTTTGTGCAGTCAATTTGCCCAAAAGCTGAACAAATTCCAAAAGTTTATATCAAAATGTAGAGGAGATCTTCAGCTGGTAACGATATGGCACACCGTATAAATCTGTGAGAAAGCTTTGAGAAATTTATCTTGAGATCTATCTTTGATATCTATCTTGAGAAATTTACAAAATAGTAAAATGCGCATTCATAACTGGACAACCCAATAAATAGGATTTATCAAGAATTAGTACTCAATCTAAAATAAAAATCATTACAACAAAACCATAAAGTTCATTAACTAAGCTATAAAGTTCATTAACTAAACCATAAAAAAAAATCTACCTGATGAAAAAGCTGTACAAAGGCCGCCCTTCACTACCAATTCTTGTCGTTTTCTCAGCGCTTGATCCAAGAATAAAATATTTGACAAAGATTTATTTTGATCGAACCTTCGCACATCTTCAACAGAACCGTTTTGAAGTAATTCAATTAATCGGTTGAAGTCAAGCTTCCTCCATACGCGTTCACCAATTCCTAAACAATTTCCAATGCAGATTCTGGAGCTTTACGGTTAAATTTTCAATTTTTCATTTTCCAAGGAGCCAATTTTTCATTTTCCAATCAAAGGCCAACTTCCAGCTCATTTTTAAGCATCTTAAACTTGTCAAGTTAGAAAGTTTTAATAAGATTTAGATAGCTTAGAATGTCAGCTTTCAGAAATTATTTGTTTTTATCAAAAGTTGTTAATAAAAAATTACTTAAAATCGGGCTGCAAGTTGACCAAAAATTTGGCCCCTGTTGTTAACCGTAAAGGTCCCAGAGATCCTAATGCAGTTCCATTTTAAATCCAAAATCTATTCATATAATTCATATTCATAAAATTACCTTAACAGCGGCTCGTCTTCCCGCTTCAAATCCCTTATCGAATGCTTTTCGATGAATCTCGATACCATTTTTGTATAATTGAGTAGTTGCCGCGGCTGCCACTTGAACCACTTTCCATGTAGGTTCACTAAAAATCAAAAAATTTATCGGCTACGATATATAAATTATGAAAGCAAAATCCTTCCCAAAAGATTCCTCAACTTTTTCCTGAAAAAACAAAAATATCAGCTCACGACGGGACTCGAACCCGCAATCGTCTGATTAGAAGTCAGACGCCTTATCCATTAGGCCACGCGAGCTATGGATGAGGGAGGCGAGAAAGGGTATACGATTTTAAGAAGACAAATACGGGAGGGTTTTACAACGTAAAATGGGTTTAATTCTATTCAAAACTTTCAAATTTTAACAAAACAAATTTCGCTATGGGAGAAAGTTGACATGTAAAAATCGATAGTGTTGAAGAAGAAGACAAGTATGGGAGGGTTTTACAAGGTAAAATTCTATTGAAACTTTGTTGCCGTACTATGTAAATATCAATGATTTAAGCATTAAAGAAATAGATTTTACCAAAAGAAAAGAAAGGGTTTAAGGCTTTAAGCCAACGGGAAAACTGACTTCCTTTAGTTCCTTCAGTCAATTTACCTCTCTTTTACTCCACTATATTAATCCACTTTGTTGCTGTACTATGTACCGTATTTTTTCGAATAGAAGACCGGGTAAAGAGTATCATCGCGTACTCCTGCGTAGCAGCCCTTTTTAAAATTTCTTTTCTGCATGAAAGCTTTCAATGAAGCGCTATAGGGCTGGGAAAATGGCTCAAAAATGCCACTAACAGATTTTGAGCCATTTTCCAGCCCTATAGCACTTCATTGAAAGCTAAAAAGGCTGCTACGCAGGAGTACGCGATGATACCTTTACCCGGTCTTCTATTCGAAGAAATACGGTAAATACCAATGATTTAAGCATTAAATAAATGGATTTTATGAAAGAAATGAACATTTACCAAAGAAATAGACACTTTACTAAAGAAATGCACACTTTCAAACAGAAATTTCGCTCAATTTTTAAATAAACTCTTCTCTTACATTCTGTTTTAAGCTAAAAAGCTATTTAAGACTTAAAATTGCACAAATTATCAAACAAAATCCTCTCCAATAGATTTTTCTTGAAAAAACAAAAATATCAGCTCACGACGGGACTCGAACCCGCAATCGTCTGATTAGAAGTCAGACGCCTTATCCATTAGGCCACGCGAGCTATGGATGAGGGAGGAGGAGAAGGGTATATGGGTTTAAGCCAACGGCAAAACTGCCTTAGTTTCTTTAGTCAATTTACCTCTCTTTTTACTCAACTATATGCAAATATTTGATTTTAAAATCTTCCGCAAAGTTTAATAGTTCAAAAATCAAACTTAGCACAAAGGAAATCGATTTTGAAAGGTTATATGTGAAGCACGTTTGGTTATATGCAAAATACAGAGCAAGGCAAACACTTACCGATATAAGCGAGCAACCGACGTGGCGCACGTCTCAAAATCAGCCCATAAACGATCGGCATCGCAATCCTCTTCACCACAACCACAACGTTGCATCGTCGAGAAAGTTATCTAGAAATAATACGTGTAAAAGGATATTGAAAGCGAATAAAAGAAAGAGAACAAAGAAAGCGAATAAAGAAAGCGAATAAAAACGAATAAAGAAAGCGAATAAAAGAAAGAGAACAAAGAAAGCGAATAAAGAAAGAAGAAAAGAAAGAATAAAGGTTGGGGCAGCTAACTAGACGAGAAGAAGAAGGTAGACAAGTCAAACTTTTAATTTTACAGATAGAATAGCGGTCAAAGGTTATTCAATTTCGAAAATAGGGATTAAATATTCGTCTAGAAGCAGGAATCAGGTTTAAACTTGAAATCTATCACAAAAATCTTTTTGCATTTTTAGTCTTTTGCGAAACTTTGCGAAAGGATGAAGAGATAAATTTCTGTAAGAGGGGCGGCTCATTTGTTGGGGAGGGGTGGTCCCTCACGCGGTTGGCGCTTACGCTAGAAGCGTTCTCGCGGCTCGTCTCGTACACGAAACGCCCGACAACGGGGCTATGGTGAGAGTGCGCGGTTGATTCTCCAAAAAATCGGCCATGTCTGTGTCTCTCTTTCGGAGGGTGCATGTCTGACCCTCATTGTACACAGTGAAAATACATTGCTGGATCTTGTTTTTATTCTTTTTATTCTTTTTATTCTTTTTATTGTTTCTCTTGACTTTTTGTTACGAAATAGGCTTTTCGTTACTTATAACTTTACTGCAAGATCCTTTTTTCTGTTTGTATTATGCGAGATACTTTGCAATATACTTTACAAGGTACTTTGCAATATACTTTGCGAGATACTTTGCAATATACTTTACAATATACTTTACAATATACTTTGCAATATACTTTGCAATATACTTTGCAAGGTACTTTTTAATAGGAAAATCTATTGCTTTTTTTATTGCTTGTTAGATTTTATCGTTTCTTAGGGCATCAAAGAAAAAAGTGTAATTAGTAAAGAGAAACTTGTAAGCAACTAGTAATTCATGCTTCATGCCGTGCTCAAATGCTCGTACCGTGCTCAAATGCTCGTACCGTGCTCAAATGCTCGTACCGTGCTCAAATGCTCGTACCGTGCTCAAATGCTCGTACCGTGCTCAAATGCTCGTACCGTGCTCAAATGCTCGTACCGTGCTCAAATGCTCGTACCGTGCTCAAATGCTCGTACCGTGCTCAAATGCTCGTACCGTGCTCAAATGCTCGTACCGTGCTCAAATGCTCGTACCGTGCTCAAATGCTCGTACCGTGCTCAAATGCTCGTACCGTGCTCAAATGCTCGTACCGTGCTCAAATGCTCGTACCGTGCTCAAATGCTCGTACCGTGCTCAAATGCTCGTACCGTGCTCAAATGCTCGTACCGTGCTCAAATGCTCGTACCGTGCTTAAATGCTCGTACCGTGCTTAAATGCTCGTACCGTGCTCGTGCAGCAAACTCATACTCAGTTACCTCAATTTTTCTAAAAAGTTACTAAGATGTCATTTTACACGCAATTTTTTCTAGATATTTGTAAAATACATATATTTGTATTGTAAATATTGTAGAATACGTGTAATTTTTTCTAAGCTAGCTTTTTTCTACGCTCCACTTTTTTGGTTTACTTGCTGATTTGTGCGCGTGCTATGTTTAAGCGTTAGATAGATTTACGCGATTCTGGGATAACTTTTAAAAGCTTTTGAGAGGTTTTTTTAAATCTTTTTTTTGGTTTATTTTTATTAGTTATACATTTAGTAATTGTTTGAATATCATGTTAATTAAATCTTTTAGTTTAATTTTTTTGACTTACGCTGCGCTGCGCATGCGCTTCTAATTTTTCCCTCCACCTCTGGGGTGCGCTTTTAATTTTCCTCTTAAAAATTTTAGACAACCCAATCTGGAAGTCTTCTAGATAAGTATGAAATCGAAAAACAACTGATAAAAAGACAAAGAATAGGTCGTTCAACGAGTTTTGTGTTCAAATTTAAGTTTAGAGATTATAGTAAGTACGTATAAGATAAATTTTGTTAGCAAAAAAGGCTTAAAAGTCGCAAAACGTTGTCGCAAAATGTAAAAAGTGCAAAACGTAAAAAGTGCAAAACGCAAAACGCAATATTAGCTCCGCAAAACGTCTAAGGGTAGAAAAGTTGAACGAAATGAGTAGTAGAGTTGTTAGAGCGCTTCTATTGTAGTATTTACAGTAGGTTTTAATGGGCAGTAATTTCAATATGCGCAATTTTTTAGAAAAAGTGAAAGGTAGCTGAGTATGAAGGCATGAATTTTACTAGTTGCCGAAAAAAAAACCTTAAAAATACCTCGCCATAGCGTGCAAATTATTAAAATGAGCAAAATGAGCTAGTTGTGATCAATCAAAAGATTCGTATGCAAATTACGAGACTTTAATTCTTTGAAACTTTGGGAGTGGGACAAATGCTACCTTTTTTTTGCGCACCTCATTTCGCGTTAAAAAAAGCTCTAAATTTCTAAGCGCTAAATTTCTAAGCCCTACATTTCTAAGCCCTACATTTCTAAGCTCTACATTTCTAAGCGCTAAATTTCTAAGCTCTAAAAAGCTAATATTAACCAATTTCTATTCTAAAATTCGTTTTTCTGGGTAATTTAGGGCGTAGAATCTAAATTTTGACATAACAGAGCGTGTGGAACCAATAACAGAGCAATTTGAAAGACAAAACGGGTAGGTTACAGAAAATTGTCGATGTCAATGTCGATTGAAATTGTCGATTCTCTGTATAACTCCTTTCATTTGCTTCCACAAGCTCTGTTATGTCAAAATTTGGATTCTATGCCCTAAAATTACTCAGAAAAACAACTTTTGGAATAGAAATTGGTTAATATTAGCTTTTTAAAGCTTAGAAATTTAGAGCTTAGAAATGTAGAGCTTAGAAATGTAGGGCTTAGAAATGTAGGGCTTAGAAATTTAGAGCTCAGAAATGTAGGGCTTAGAAATGTAGGGCTTAGAAATGTAGGGCTAAGAAATTTAGAGCTTAGAAATTTAGAGCTTAGAAATTTAGGGCTTAGAAATTTAGAGCTTAGAAATGTAGGGCTTTTTTAAAACGCGAAAAAAGGTGCGCTAATGGGTCGGGTTCGCAAAAAAAGTCGCATTTCTCCCAATCTCGAAACTTTAATAACTACTAAATATCCTTTTATCAGTCTTATTTAAGCGGCTTTGCTAAAAGATTTTTCTCATTCACAATTTTTAAGTTTTAGGTCATTTTCCACTCGCCTCTTTTTACACAAATACGCCCGAACAATTTTTTTTCCTCGTTTTTGTTGTCCCGGATTGTTTTTTTCTTCTTTCCGTTGTTTGAGACGCCCTTGATTCCATTAAAAATTCTCGCAAAATCTCACTGATTCAAAAAATTTTCCCAAATTTCATCACTATTTTTGAGTTTTGTCATCTTTAACAAACCAATTAGGCTTCATTTTCAGCCACCAATTAGGCTTCATTTTCTGCAAAATCTAAAAATCTCATTTTTATACTTGCTTGTTCTCTTATACTTACTTTACTTGCATGTTATTGAAAGTTTAAAATTGTTTTTTTTTCAGAAGCCATGGAGAACGATATTCAACTGGATTACGAGGAGGAAATTGATGGAGCCGATTTGGTGGAAAGGGATTCAACGGAGGCTTCATCATCGCGAGCTTTCACAGAGGATTTTGAGAAGGAGAAAAACAAGTCAACGAATCTAACTGGCGATATTCCAACTCACAATGATGTTTCTGCTGACGAGATGGTTTCTCTGTATGAGGAAATGCAAGCGCGTGGTGGTGATTTCATTCTTCGAGCTGTTCTCGTTCGTGGTGTCGACGGTATGACTGCGTTTGATGTTGAGAAGATCTTTGCCGAGTTCAAGCCCTATCGAGTGGAGATTCTGAAGGACATGTCGGCTCTCGTTTACTTCACGAATCGACCTGCTGCCGCGTTGATGATGCTTCGAATGTGCAAGAGGCTGCGACGAGTTCGTGGTGCGAAACGGGTTGAAGAGGAGGGTGAAGTGCTGGAATCGTCAGAAGAAGAGGAGGAAGAGGGCGTTTTGAAAGAGGAGAATGGAGATGATGTTGAGATCATCGCTAAAGGCCCAGACCACAAGCCGAAGCAAAGGAGCGCACAGAATGTAAAGATTGATGTGGACGTGGTTCAAATTCCAGTGGGTCGATGGCGAGTAGTTACTGAGCACGTTGCCGATCGCCGTCTGCTGATTATTCGTTTTGCAAAACGAGATGAAATCAAAAGTTCAAAGGAAAATCGAATAGATGTTGGCAGCGATCGCAAGAGGAAAATTGACGACAATAATGGGGATCCCGACTCCGGTTGGTTAGGTGAAACAACTGTCCGACCTGGTCTAAACGTTTTTGATGAACGAGGAAAAGAGTTGGAATGGGACTACGAACATGACACTCGTTTCTTCGAAGGCCCAGAAGGTCCAGTTAATTCTGCTGAAGATCCCGAAATAAAGAAATGGGGTGCAGACGACGCAGCTCCTCCGAAGAAAATCCGTGGTCGCGGTGCTGCACGTGCTCATCTGCTTTTCTTGGACAAAAATGCTGACACAATGCGAGCTGACACTGAATCAAAAACGGCAAAGAAGGGCAGAGAACGAAATGCCGGTTCGGAGTCGCGCTTATCTGGAGATGTACCACTGGACAAAGGTCACAAAAGCACTCGGTGGATTCGCGGCCAAAAAATCACATTTGATACTGAAAATGAATAATTTATTTTCGGAATCCTATTTTATGCTTGTTTATGCCTTTTGATAGGCTTTGTGCCATGACGCACATTTTAATTGTTCTTTTGTTTTTGAATCATTCCTTTGTAATAAGTTGTGTTTTCTGTCTGTTCAAGTTAAAATGTTTTGTTTTAAGGTACGGCTAACTGGACGGGTAAATAGTGTGATCTTCTTCTCTTTTCAAGATGATACGTGGCTATCATCCAGTTGTACAGGTGGATTTATGCTAACTAAAGAACTAACAAAGTAGATTTAGGCCTTACTAGCATCGCTCTTCACATGGGGAGTCACAGCGCTTGGAGCCGGCGTCGTTTTTATCAGCAAAACAAAATCTACAAAGTTGTTAGGTGGAGGCTTTTTATGAGAACTGTTATATTTTCTTTTTTAGATAGCTCGCTCGGATTTGCTGCAGGTGTAATGATTGCGGCTTCTTTTTTGGTCACTCCTTGCACCGGCAATAAGTATCGCTGAGGAAACCGCGGGTTTTAATGACTGCCAAATAAAAGCTCAATTCTCTAGGTGCTTTCGCCTTTCTACCGGTTGCTGTCGGGTTTATCCTCGGAGCTGTCTTTGTCCATTTTGCTGATCGAATGCTTCCAACGTGAGTTTATTAAATAAAAGATTGTGAATGTTACTGTGAATTGTGAATGTTAAGAATAAAACAATGATTTTTAGGTGTCTGGTTGCAGAAGAAGCTATCATGGAGACAATTCACATGCATCAAACAGAGACACAAATGTCTCTCGTGAGTAAGGGAGATAAAGACGTCGACAGCAACGGGTACGCTCCAGCAGAACGGCCGCTAAGGCGATCCGCGCGTAATGGGGAATTAAGGCAGAGGTGGGCAGCGCCACGTTCACGAAAATACTGGATTTTATTAAAAAAATATACTTAATCATCATTTGGATTCATTTTTACGTATAAAATCAAGTATGTGAACGAGGAATTTCGGACTTTAATTGTTACGCCTTAAATGTCTTTTCTGTTAGGGAAAGGTGTCGGGTGAATGCTTTTAAGCACAATTTTCTCAGAGTCAACGGGTGTTTTGAAGATTGTTTTGGTGTTTTGTTGTCAAGTCCGAATGCCCATTTGGAAAGAAGCGCTTTTCCCCTCTGTCGCCATTCAAACTCTTTGTGCACCTCACTTGATATTGTTTTTAGATTTCAGAGAGTGACATTTAGCGACACAATTCACTTGACTTCTTGAACACAAACAATTAGGGCTAATTTGCTTTTTAGCTAGTTTTTGTTTTAGAAGAGCCGTTATGGTCGAACCATCAGAAGATCGAGAGGTTGGATTTGATTCACGAGGACGAGCTGGTTCAGCTATTGTGGCTCCAGCGAACAGTGAACAATACGACGATAATATCAAGGTGTCTTTGGCTTTTATGAAATTAAAGTTCAATTATAACGAGTAGAATGAGTTTTACTTTGCGTTGATTGAAATGTAACGAAAATTTTAGAATCAAAGTTGGCGGCGGATTATGTTGTTGATTTTGGCGGTGACTGTCCACAATATTCCGGAAGGGCTCGCTGTTGGTGGGTGTTATTTTTAAAGATCATATGATCTAGTTTTTAGGTGTCGGATTTGGTTCAGTCGGGAAGAGTGAAAAGGCCACATTTGAGTCGGCTTTCAACCTAGCTTTGGGAATTGGATTGCAAAATTTTCCCGAAGGTTTAGCCGTCTCGCTACCACTTGCAGCTTTTGGTTTGTTTTATAGCTTTTGAATTAGTCACCGATTATTGTAGGTCGTTCAAAGGCTCGTGCTTTCTGGTGGGGTCAATTGTCGGGAATGGTGGAACCGTTTGCGGCACTCCTTGGGGCTGGGTTGGTCGTTCTGATGGAACCGATTCTTCCCTATGCATTGGCATTTGCTGCTGGAGCCATGATCTACGTTGTTGTACGTTTTTAATACTTGTTTGTTTCATTATTTTGATTTCTAGGTCGACGATATCATTCCGGAAGCACAGAGAAATGGCAACGCGAAATGGGCATCCGTTTTCTGCATCTTTGGATTCGTCGTCATGATGTCATTGGATGTTGGACTTGGTTAAAACCTTGACTCTCCGCTTTACGAATTCAATCTTGTAACTCTCCGTATCATGGCAGCTCTTAGGGTCTCAAACTACTTTTGTGTGATATTTTCGTGTATATTGGCTCATCCTTTGTTCTGTGGCCTAAAATAGTTGTTGCGTTTCTTGTCTGTTAATATTTTGGGAAGCCGGTGAGTTTTTTTTCTTGATGAAAGTAGCCATTTTTGAAGTTAAGCCTTTCATTTCTTAAAACATTCGATTGTTCGATGATTTCTTTGTTGTGACGACGCGATTTGCCTCTTCTCACTTTTTGCATAATTATTATTTCTTGATTGTGAATCTTTATTTTCTTACTTTATGTGTGTAAAAGCTGTGATATATACGTTGACTTAATAAATCGTTTAGAAGCTTTTAGGAATTAAGTAAAGGATTACCAGTCAATATTGAAAAAAGTGGTTTCAAGTTACAAGGGTATGCTACCGTAAATACTGTAATAGTACCCCCATAATGACGGTGCGGAGTGTTGCGTAGTCTAGCTTTGAACGAGTTTTTCTCGACACTGGTTTATGCTACAATGTTCGTTTTGGTATCAAAAAATAGCCCTGAATTCCAGCTATTTTTTGATACCAAAGACGCATTTTTTGGGGTACTATTACAGTATTTACGGTATGTTATTAGCTGTTGATCTACTTGATTTGGTAGAAAATTTGTTTCTAAGCAGGAAAGGATTTATTTTGATCAAATTTTTTTCTCAAAGTGAAGTATATGAAAGTATTATATGAAAAGTTTTTCTTTAAGATGTGGACAAGTCGAGTGCTGAGGTTGCCGCGAAAACCATTCTCCGAACTCGACTACGCCCGCCATATGCCCGAGGAATACGTCAAAAATGTGCAACGTGTCGTCCCGAGAAAAGTCTGGGGAGAAAGGTGCGTTTAGTTTTTTTATTGGTTTGTCTTATTGAGAATGCTTATTGAGAATGCTTATTGAGAATGCTTATTGAGAATGCTTATTGAGAATGCTTATTGAGAATGCTTATTGAGAATGCTTATTGAGAATGCTTATTGAGAATGCTTATTGAGAATGCTTATTGAGAATGCTTATTGAGAATGCTTATTGAGAATGCAAAACCGACAACCTATATTCCCTACCGTAAATACTGTAATAGTACCCCACCTCTCCCTCGTACAGTCGCGTAGTCGCAAAATTTTTTTAGTATTTCATTTTTTCAAGGCGCCCGTACTTTCAAAAAATGCGTCTTTGGTACCAAAAAATAGCTGAAATTCAGGGCTATTTTTTGACCTCAAAATGAACATTTTAGCATAAACCAGTGTCGAGAAAAACTCGTTCAAAGCTAGACTACGCAACACTCCGCACTGTCATTATGGGGGTGGGGTACTATTACAGTATTTACGGTAAGCTTAATACTTTTTCTCGACAATTCGAATCAAGATCCTTCAAAGAAAACTTTGGCTTTATATCCGCCTTTTTCAGGTTTGGCGCTCCACCAATTGTGAGATGGATGGTCCATCCGGATGACGCAGTGCCTTCAAGCAAACGGCCTTGGGAACAAGACGAACTTCAGGCTTCGCTGAAACGACAGAATAAATATCACGAGAAGAAGTTTGTGATTAGTTCCTCCTTTTCGATCATCATTTTTTTTAGAGTATCGAGAAAATTCTTGGAACTCCGGCACTCGCAAACGAAACAAATCTCTGATCAAGATTGGACATTCTTCATGGGAGATCAAGTAGAGGTAGAAGGAAAGAATTTAAATTACAAATCGCCTCTATTCATCAATTATTCTTTTAGGTGTTGGTTGGAAAGGATAAAGGGCGGCAAGGCACCATTTCTCGTGTGAATCGAGCCACGAATGAGGTTAGTTGGCATGGCAGGGAATAGCTTTCATTTTCTAATTTTAGGTTTATGTTGACCAAATGCACGCGAAATTGGTGACAAAGTTTAGTGACGACGAACTGAAACGATTGGGAGTCTCACAAACTCTTATGTGAGCGTTCTTTAAATTAAAGGAGTCATCATAATCTAAAATCTACTGACGATTTTTGAGAATTGATTTCTTTATCTTTTTTTTTTAGTTGGGAAGAACAACCGCTTTCCGTCGAGAAGGGACAAGTGAAACTCGTTGATCCAAACGATAACCAGCCATGTAACGCTAGGTAAACAACTTTTTATTATTTTGTTTAAATACAGTTACTGACCCCAATTAAATGCTATCCAGAAAAAACGAATTTTAGTTGGAAACTGAGTAAAGCCGGCGACGAATGGGTTCGTGTCTCGGAGCGAACCGGCTTCGAAATACCGATCCCAACTCAAGCCGAAATGACATATGATTACGCTCAAGCCGAAAAGTATATAGGCAAGTTATACAGAATGCAAAAGAATACAGAAATTAAACAGAATATGATTAAAGTCTAATCTTTTAGACGTCGAGGGTAAAGACACGCCCGCTGATGAGGTTCTCCGCATCACATTCAAACCAAAATTGATGGCTTTTGAAGAAGAAATAATGGAATCATTTGGAATCAAGGTACATCGTTTTTACTTTTCAGTTTTGGTAGATGCCAAAATTTAGGAGAATCGACAAAGAAAGCCGACCTATTGGTACTAAAGATTTTGCGTCAACGGGATCTCAAGAATTTGTTGTTTGTTATTTTTTGTTGAATTTTTGATTGAAAATATTTTTTAGTTTAGTTAGGGTTTAGTCGGAATGAAAGATTTTTTGTCTTGTGCGTTTTTGATAAATTTATTTAAAAACAGTAACAAGAACAACTAACAGGACAGACTAACAAGAAAAACGTACAGAGTCGTAATGAACTTTTATTCCTCATTTTCCTCCTCCATGTTTGTGTCTCCACCAAGATCCAAATCATCAAGCATTTCCGCAAGAGTTGGGCCGTCGACTACCTCATTAGCACCTTCTTCATCCGTATCCACCGGCTAAATAAATTTTTTAGTCAGCTAGATCACTCAAAGTAGTTTCTTCACTTACCATGGCTAATCTCTCACGATCCTTATAGATGTTCAACTTCTCTCTCATGAAAGGATCCTCTTCAATATCTTCCATAAATCTAAAATCAAAATACATCTCATTCCAAAATCAAAATACAAGATTCCCAAAAAATTACCCTTGGAATTCATCGGCAACAGAAGCCGTCTCATGGCCAACAATGTTTCCATCAATAACAAGACGCTTGAGTTTCCATTTTCTCTTGGCAGCACGGCGTTGACGATCAAAGACCTAAGCCACACATAAGAAATGAAGATTTGTGTCAACGCCAACCTTTTTAACAATGATCACATCTGGAATCTCATCACTTTTCATTGAATCCAAAACATCGTTGTTAACGTTGCAATTTCTAATATCGAATCCTGAAACACATGCTAGCTTTGGTATATAACGGGTATTTTTTAACCTTGAACAAGGTCTCCGGGGCTTAGAAGTCTTCCAAGATGAGTACGTGAAGAGAGCGTTTCAGCGCCATCTTTGCCAACCTCGTTCGAGCGTTGTAGCCAAACATCAGCAAGTTCGTGTCTAAATACAACTTTTAACGTTAATTTCTATTTATAAGCAGAGCAAACCATGTTGCACAATACTAACTTCTTGCTCACATATCCATGTCCTGGCTTACGTTCCACCTCAGTTGGCTCTACATCCATCACGTAAAACTCTGTAAGCATTTTTGGACTGCACAGAGACTCAAATGGTTCCCTCCAAAAAGCTGTCCTAAATAAAAGTATAAATCGTTTTTTATTATTTGCAATTACGAATTGACGTCCGCCATTTGAAGGTTGCTAGGATCAAGAAGCGTCAAAACATTAGAAACGCGAAGACAGAGAACGATCTAAAAACAATCCCATTAATCTTCAAACTAGGAAAAAAATTTACCTGATTCATATTTCCCAATTGTTGAGCTACCTTTTTCGGCAAGCAAACAACATTGTCCCTATAAGAAAAAATGCTAGAAAAAATAAATTCTGACAAACCTGCAAATAGGTACGATTTCCACACAAAACGTATGTCGGTAGTCATAGGTGTTATTTTTTGTATCATGCGAGACCAATTCCTAAAATAACAATAACAATAACAATGTTTGGAAAAAGTTGGTATACCTGGGCGTAGTGATATTTAACCGGCAGGATCACATTCAAAAAATCCACAAAGCGACGCGCATCTTGTAGTTGTGGGAAAAAGAAATCGATTCCTTAACAAAAAGTTTCCATATAATTGTTCTGCACTCTTTACCTGTAGGAACCGGTTTTACACCAGTACAATTTTGATGAGCAGTGTGTTTGAGAATAAGCTGCTCCAAATAAAACAAGGTTTTCTTGAAGTCGGCCTTCTGACGGACTTGAACACAAGCTCTCCAAAAATCTTTTGCTTCGGCACGTCTGCAATCGTCACACATCTAAACAAACGTTCGATCAAAATTTTCACCACACAACAAACCTGATTGTGCTGAGTAAATTCGCAAATCATGTCTTGTTGTAAGATGGTAGATGTGAAGACCTCCTTTTGAATTGTCAATTTGACCTTGATTCGTTTCGAGTGAGCTTCAGTCCACACAAAGACTGCATCAATCAACCGAACCTAAAAATAAAATTGATTATACAGAAGGCACAAATAAATCCAACCTTATTCATTTTTGGTTTCAACTTTTTGAGACAGATCGAAAGCAGTTCTTTCGATTCAAGTTCAGCTCGATTCCAACCGGCTGGTGGCACAAGGTAGCGGTTGCAGAATTTGCAGATGTAAAGCGTCTCTGAAAGAAAGGAATTGGTTTCCGGTTTAAAAGTCATATAAACATTAACAAAAGAAAAGATAATACCTGTCCTTGGAATCCCCTCGGTGATGTCAACATGGCTTCGAATACATTGTGAGCACATATTTGCTTGATTGGGTTGAATCGGAAGACCGCATACACAGCAAGCGATCATCCCCACGGATGAGGTGGGCGCAAAGTGCTCCATCCTGGAAAATAATAGATTAGTTACAGATCAATAACAAAGTGGAAATCGATGGAAAACCAAAATTCAGTAAGGTTTGAAACGCAGTAAACTAAAACTAAAACTGAAACAACTAAAAGATGTTTAGATGATGTTTGTTTCAATGGTTTTCTTTTAGGTGTTTGCACCGTCCCGAAAGACGCCTACGAGAAACCCTTCGCAGGTCAAATTTGGCAGACGGTGCTGAATGAGTGGACGATCACCGATGAAATGGGCTGGGAGCTCGACAAACAACTACAATTCTTAATAATAAATTGTTAAGTCAAAGATGGATAAGATTTCAATAAAAAAAAGGAAATTTTCATCGATTTTGGGTAATATTTCACAAAAGATAAATATCGTAAATCGTCGCAAAAAGCTACGCGTTTTCCTCTTTACTCTATAGAATGGCGCTAGATTGAAAAGTGTGTAAAAACTTGGGGGTAGGCTACTTTCCGCCATTTTATTTGCGCAACAGGGTCATTTCCGCAAGTACGTTTGCGCAACTTTTTATTTGCGCAACAGGGTCATTTGCGCAACTTTTTTTGCGCAACAGGGTCATTTGCGCAACTTTTTTTGCGCAACAGGGTCATTTGCGCAACTTTTTTGACGTTTTTAAGGGAAAGGGAGTTTTTGACGTTTTTTTTTGTTGTTTAAAATTCTAGTACGGTTTTGTTTATTCTTAAAAACCATTGTTAACTAATTTTCCGCATTTTCCCAAGAATCCGCATCCATCGTATACTGCGGTCAGACTTTAAGAAGAAATGACGCAAATAATCAACCGTTTCAAGCTTTCATCGGCTATCAATCTCACTGTTGGACAAAACTACACACGGAAGAAAACTGTATTGGCTCGACAAAAGCAACGTTTTACGATTTTACGTTTTACGTTTTACGAACAGTTAACAACGATTTTGTGCAACATCTTTCTCAGCTTTTGACTTATATTAAAAAAATTTGATTTTTATTGTTGTCCTAAATTTCATTGCTATTGTTGTCCTAACTTTCATTGTTATCGGTTGCACTTTTTTGTTAAAGCGATAAAATACTTTACTAATGGTTATTAGCTCTTAGAAAGGACTAATTTAGATAAATATTGGAAGATTTCATAAAAATAGAAGAAAATAAAAAACAATAAAAAAAAAGCTCAAAAATGAAAATAATGATTAAAAATTCGAGTGCTTAATACAGTGTTAAAGTTGCGCAAATGACCCAGTTGCGCAAATGACCCTTTTTGTGCAAAAAAAAGTTGCGCAAATGACCCTTGTTGCGCAAACGTACTTGCGCAAATGACCCTGTTGCGCAAATAAAATGGCGGAAAGTAGCCTACCCCAAAACTTGCGGTAAAGCGGCTGGTACCTTAAGTTATTACCCATAGAAAAGTAAAAATACTGGGAGTGGGACAAATGCGACCTTTTTGTTGCGCACCCGGACATTTGCGCACCTTTTTTTCCGCACTTAGCCCATTAGCGCACCTTTTTTCGCGTTTTAAAAAAGCTCTAAAAGCTAATATTAACCAATTTCTATTCCAAAAGTTGTTTTTCTAGGTAATTTTAGGGCGTAGAATCGAAATTTTGGCATATCAGAGCTTGTGGAAACAAATGGAAGGAGTTATACAGAGAATCGACAATTTCAATCGACAATTTTCTGTAACCTACCCGTTTTGTCTTTCAAATTGATTCCGCACGCTCTGTTATTGGTTCCACACGCTCTGTTATTGGTTCCACACGCTCTGTTATTGGTTCCACACGCTCTGTTATGTCAAAATTTAGATTCTACGCCCTAAATTACCCAGAAAAACGAATTTTCGAATAGAAATTGGTTAATATTAGCTTTTAGAGCTTTTTTAAAACGCGAAAAAAGGTGCGCTAATGGGCTAAGTGCGGAAAAAAAAGTGCGCAAATGTTCCACTCCCGGGGGTGGGACAAATGCGACCTTTTTTTTGCGCACCTGGACATTTGCGCACCTTTTTTTTGCTGGAAAAGGCCTTAGGCAAGGCCGTAGAGCTTCGAAAATACTTCCATATAAGGGAATCGTATGCGTAGATTCCGAATTTCGACAAATCAGACCTCGCTGACACGTCAAATTTGGGCTAAAAGGTAAAAAACTACGCAACTTAACGCTTTTCCGCAGTTTTTGCCTTTTAGCCCAAATTTGACGTGTCAGCGAGGTCTGATTTGTCGAAATTCGGAATCTACGCATACGATTCCCTTATATGGAAAAATTTTCGAAAAATTTTCGAAGCTCTACGGCCTTGCCTAAGGCCTTTTCCAGCAAAAAAAGGTGCGCAAATGTCCAGGTGCGCAAAAAAAAAGTCGCAGCTTTTCAAAAAGAACTTTTGGAGAGAAAAGTGACCCACAAGTACCCATTTTTTTGTCGCAAACCTACCGTAAATACTGTAATAGTACCCCACCTCTTCCTCGTACAGTCGCGTAGTCGCAAAAGTTTTGTTAGTATTTCATTTTTTTCAAAGCGCCCGTACTTTCAAAAAATGCGTCTTTGGTATCAAAAAATAGCTGAAATTCAGGGCTATTTTTTGAAACCAAAATGAACACTTTAGCATAAACCAGTACCGAGAAAAACTCGTTCAAAGCTAGACTACGCAACACTGCGCACTGTCATTATGGGGGTACTATTACAGTATTTACGGTAAGAAATGTAACAAAAAATGCACTTTCCAACTCTTTACTTTACTACTTGGCTCAGGATTAGTCCTACCATACTAATTTTTTAATTTCAGCGATGTCTCCACCTCACCAAAAGCCGGCCGATCCTCCGTCTCTTCCCGGAACCCCTGTCAAATTAGTAGGTGAGTGTTTTTCAATGAAATTTTTCAAAAACTAAGGCAAGTTATTTTTTTTTGCAATATTTCAGTTCCATTTCTTGCCATACTCAAACTTAATCGTTTTTATTTAGAAGAGAGTGAGAAACGAAGCGATTATCTCGTCTGGAGCGACTATTTTATGGCGTTGGCGATTTTGGCGTCGAAACGGAGCAAAGACCCGACAACACAGGTAATTTTACGGAACTTTTAATGTTTTTTTGGGGACTTTGAAACAAGAATCATTTGAAGGTTGGTTGGTTTTAAGGTTGGTTGTGTAATTGTAATTGTAATTGTAATTGTAATTTTTAAGGTTGGTTGTGTAATTGTTGATCGGGACAATAAAGTGCTTGGGACGGGCTACAATGGAATGCCGATTGGGTGCGACGATGATGAAATGCCTTGGGGAAAGGTTAGTTTTTGGATAGAAGCTAAATCATAGAAAATAGAGAGGTTTTCTTATGGTGATGTAGATTTATTGGATCTTTTCATTGGTAATTTGAAAAAGTTTTATTTTAGGGAGACATGAATCCCTTGCGAAACAAGCACGCCTTTGTCGTTCACGCCGAGCAAAATGCGTTGATAAACAGTCTCGGAAAAGCGGAAGGATGCACTCTCTACACGGTGCTCTTCCCTTGCAATGAATGTGCAAAGATAATAGTCCAGGTTTGTATTTGGGAGTAAGGTCTTGTGACAAAAGTTATGTTTAGCATAAGATACGAGAAGTGGTCTACATGCTCGACAGGAACACGTGGGAAATGGAAGGCGCGAGGATACTATTCAAGAAAACCGGGATCATTTATAAGTGAGTTTGTTTTTCTTTTCTATCGTAATTGTATTTTTAGACAATTTAAAACAAGGCTACCATCCGTCACGTTGAGTTTCGATAAGGATTGCTACGAGACCGATAAACGATTCGATAAACATGACGCATAGAAAAGAAAAAGAAAGGAATAAAGAGTGCGGCATATAGTGTTGAGCACAAAAGATTTCTCAAAAACTAAAAGAATTGTCAGTTCTATCGTTTCGATCTTTAGATCTAAACGTTTAGATCTAAATCTACGTACATTTTTCAATAGATTTATGAGTTTGTGTAGGAATTTAAAACTTTATTCGTTTCATATAAGACTTTAAACGTGATTGCTGCTTTGAACATGAAATTTGTCGAAATCTGCCACTTTTGTTAGCCAAGATAAGCTCGCATTTACAATAATGGAGCTGAAAAAGCACTACTTTTATAGTAATTAACTCTAAAAACATATTAATGCAGAAAAAGATAAAAAAAAGACGATTTTTAAAGACGCTAAACTCAAATTTAACTGCTTTTCAGCATCGTGCCGCATAGCATTTTTTGTACTGCTCAGCTAGGGCTGTCAAAGTCATTCAAAAATGTGACGCTTTTTCTATTCTATGTACAATTACACGTAGATTTTATGATTAGTTGTTGTTTTTCAGCTTAGATTAATGTATTGTCTTAGAAGAGCAAAAAGATGCACAAAGCGCAACACTATATATGCCGTACCCTGTATATTACGATAAGTGCTTAATTATAATGTATTACGGGTTTTTTAAAATTTTGTTTTAGTATTTTTGAATTTTATGGTTACTCTGTTATTTGTGAATTGGATTTTTACGATTTAAAAAATGATAAAAGACCTTGGTAAGCTCTTGAAACCAAAACACATTTTATTAGGAAAATTTGCATGCAAGCTTTATTTATTAGGATGAAAGAAACAAGGCTAATTCATTTTTTACATCAATCAACTCAAATGTCTTCTTTACTATTTAACGCGCCGATCTTTGTGCTTATATTCTTCATTGGAATGGGAATGGGAAAGCAGCAAGAAGCTACCTGTGATGATGTAAGTTTTTTGAACCTAACATTTCTTATTTATAAGTTGAGTTCTATTTTAAAGTATTGAATGGTGGGCCTGCTAAAGTCTAAGCTTTTAAAGTCTAAGTCTAACCCTTACAATAACTCTAAATATATCTAAAGTTAGATAGATATCTAAATTTTAAACCTTTCTACATCAACAGATTGATCGTTTTCAGACCGTGAGCGCTCTGATGGTTTGGTTGGTGTTCGCCACATTGATACCGGTTCGTTTTGTTTTAAACTTTTGAATAATCTGGCTTATTTAGTTGACGATTAATGTAGCCACATTCGTTCTCATCATTCTCACCATCTCGCAGATGCGCAAAATGAAGAAAATCACCGAGTCGATCGCGTCGAGGTTTGTTTTTCTTAGACCTTTAGCACTTAAATTTCATTTAAGCACTTAAATTCCATTTCGTGGACAATTTTTAGTTAACAATTTGATGGCATTTAATTGTATTTATTACAATTGTTCCATTACAATTGTTCCATTACAATTGTTCCATTACAATTGTTCCATTACAATTGTTCCATTACAATTGTTCGATTACAATTGTTTCATTACAATTGTTTCATTACAATTGTTTCATTACAATTGTTCCATTACAATTGTTCCATTACAATTGTTCGATTACAATTGTTCCATTACAATTGTTCGATTACAATTGTTTCATTACAATTGTTTCATTACAATTGTTTCATTACAATTGTTCCATTACAATTGTTCCATTACAATTGTTCCATTACAATTGCTCCATTACAATTGCTCCATTACAATTGTATTACAATTACACTATTTTTAGCACTCATCGGCTTTCACAAACGGCGATTCGAGTCGGCATCGGCAACTCGGCTAAAAAGGTCAGTTCTTATACTCAATGCACTTATTTACAGTAAGTAAAGATTGTGATATTGCGTTAACTTTTTAGAATGTGCACATTTGATCTTTTTGAGCAACTGAATACATTTCTGAGTGGCCAATAGAATGGCCTCCTTGGGCTGGCCTTGTCTTTTCTATGCACACTTATTCTACCATTCTCTGAGTACATTTCTTTTAGATCTTTATCACCTTTCAAAACAATTTTCATTTTAGGCACTGCTCGATTTCGCTCGTACAAAGGACGAACTAAAGATGCTCTTGCCTGCCACAACGATCGACAAGAAGAATGTGTAAATGGGATATTTTGTGAATAAATGTGGTAATCCTTTTATAATTTATAAAGAAGAAATAAGCGAATAACTTGATTACTAATACCTAATAACTAATAACGGCTAAAATTCTTGATTAAAGTACCTAAACTACAGTAACCAGTAGATAAACTTTATTATCGCTAAAGTTGATGCTGAATAACCTTTATTATATGTTTGATATATTGGATTGGTGAATTGAAAACTGCCAGCTATTGTCATATGTGACAGTTTGAGTACTTTCTTCAAAAGAAACCCATTTTGGTGTCAATGGAAAAGTTGTAGAGAATCAAAAATCAAGCTTATATCCAAATTTTCAGAACGATTCAAAAACTGGTTTTCAAGAAATGCCAAATTTACGAATTTTCACAAAACTTGCAACAAAACTTGCATTTTAAGCGAAACTACTAAGTGTATCTTTTTGGAAATTTGGCTATAAGCCTCATTTTTGATTCTCTACAACTTTTCCATTGACACCAAAATGGGTTTCTTTTGAAGAAAGTGCTCAAACTGGGACATTCCTCCATTTTTGAGTCTCACACTTGTCTCACACACAAACCAAAGCCCTACTACGAAAGAGGAATCCGTAAATTGCCTGTAAAATGGACAGAAGTCGTCAATAATAATGGAAATTATTTGGAATGAATTGATGGTTTTATGTTGAATAAATTTTAGTTCAAAGTCCCGCAGTTTTCAATTCACCAACTCAATAATTCTTTTTAAGGTTCCTAAATGTGCTACCGTAGTTTTTTTTTCTATTTTACGCTAAACGATTAAGTCCCGCAACTCTATACTTTAGTAAGGTCAAACCCTTTTTTTGTGCGCGGTCAGGTACGAGGTTCTTTTTTTGTTTCATCCCTCAAAAACTCATTATCCTCGGTCAATGCGCCTTCTTTTTTAGAGACAGCCTAACTCGTACCCTGTGAAGGTCCCACTCTTCATTGAAAGATCTCTCATTGAATCTCTCTCATTGAATATCTTTTCTTTTATCTCGTTTCTCGAGAGTACAATAGAATGGCCTCCTTGGACTGGCCTTGTCTTTTCTATGCACACTTATTCTACCATTCTCTCACCTCTGCACCCTCATGCTGTTTACCTTTGAGAAGTTTTTGAGTGCATCTTTTTGTGCATTGATAGGTTTATGATTGAGTATTGTAGACAAAAAATTTGGTAAGATGGTAAAATTCATGAGCACTTTTCCAGAGTTTGATCTGGAAAAGATCCTTTTTTGAGCTAGATTTTACCATACTCAATCGAATTTCCGTTACTGTACTCATACCGTAATCCGTCTGTACCAATAAGATTCATTCTGTCTCTCTGTCTGTCTGTCTGTCTGTCTGTCTGTCTGTCTGTCTGTCTGTCTGTCTGTCTGTCTGTCTGTCTGTCTGTCTGTCTGTCTGTCTGTCTGTCTGTTCTGTCTGTTCTGTCTGTTTTGTTCAATAAGATGTCTGTTACCGTAATCCGATAAGATTCATTTGTACCGTAACCATGTCTGCTTGAGGTTCGGTTCAGTGCAAGTAGTGTATCGAGTTTATGCATTGGGTTCAGAGTATTGTCTTCATTATACCGTAATACTGTATAATTTTTGTTGATGAAACCAAAGTTGATTTTTTTTCCTTCAAATCGAAATCATCTGATTGGAACGTCCAATTGGAAAGCTTTCATAAACACACACATCCATACTTACACTTTCATAAACAGTTTATCGGTTTACTTGACGGTACTTGGGAGTGCAATTGTAATTTTGTGTCTACCCTTTGCCAGAAAGGATTTATGAATGGAATGGGGGCAGTTGTGGGCCCACCTGTACCCTTCCCTTGGTACCCTACCATTCTCTGGGTACCCTACCATTCTCTGGGTACCCTACCCCTCCCTTGGTACCCTACCCCTCCCTAGACACCCCAACCCTTCCCTTCCCACATCCATCCGTGTCCTCGACTCTTATTTATAATTGGTGCCCACATGTGGACTGCTTTTGAGAAAGGTTTCTGTATTTCTCTATGGATAAATTGGTCAAATTCTTTTGACTCTACGAGAATCCTTTTCATCATAGCTTTTGTGCTTTTTTTTGCTTTAAATGCTTGCATTTAAGTGCTTATTTTTAAGGATTTTTTTTGACTAATTTAGATTTAAATAGGCTACCGTATCTATTTGTGACTCAATTTGCATAAATCTCAAACGATTAACGAAAACAGCTGACAATTACTATAAGCAATTGTCAGCTGTCAGCGATTTTTTTTCTTTAGTTTGTAAATCTACATTTGTAATTGTATTTCTCTTATTTCTCTATCCGTGACCGCTAGAATTGCTCTAACAATGCAAAAAGATTATTTAAACGAAAAAAATGTTAACTTTGAAAGATTTAAAGACCAAAAAAATGACCCCGAGCAATGCAAATAGTTTCACGATTCAATTTCTCTCGATTCTTCTTGTTTCTTTAATAAAGAATATAGTTTTATCTAGAAATAGAAGATTTTCGAATCTAATTTTCTAATAATTCTAATTTACAAATCTTCAAAAGCATTTAATTTACTTTACGAATATTTTAACTTTATTGGCCTTTTGCCATTGGCGACCGTCGGTTTTCGGGTCTTTTTCTTAGGACCAAAGCCTTAATTCTGACTGTTTTAACTATCATTCGATAGAGAACAAAATTGCGCATCGAATGAGACCAAAAGGAACCCAAAATCTAAAATCCATGCAAAGTTATTAGCTAAAAACATTGGCTTAATCTTTTCCCTCATAACTTTGCATAGATTTTATATTTTTAGTTCATTTTAGTCTCATTTGATGCGCAATTTTGTTTTTTATCGAATGATACTTTAAACAAGCAAAATGAAAGCTTTGATGCTAAGAAAAAGACGAAAAACCGACACTCGCCAATGGCAAAAGGTCTTAAAATTTTGACTGTTATTTAAACAAATCTTCAAAAGTATTTCATTTACTTTACGAATAGATTTATAGATTTTAGATTTATAATACCATTCTTTTAGATGTTTTCCATTCAAATAAATCCTCTATTCATTCAAAAAAAAAGGTAACTTGATATATTTTAAAGTAGATATTGCCCGGATTAGCTTTAGAATTGCCTAGATTAGCTTTAGAATTGCTCAAATTACTTGAACGGCTTCTTTTAAGGATAATATCGTTAAATAAGGATCTAATGGATTAGGCTGGAGAGAGAAAAGAGACTAATTTACTCATCGATTACAGCCAGGTGTCTCAGAAAACAATTGGGACAGCTGGTGGAACGAAAATTTCGAAAAGACAAGGGAAATCCTTGAAAATCCTCGGAAATCACCACAAAATATCGACGATTTCTTCAAGAAGACTTATTAAAGAGACTAAAGAGATTAAAGAATCAATTAAGAGAAAGATCAAATGGAGAGAGATCCAATGGAGAGAGATTCTCTGTAAGAGATTTTCCCCAGCGACCTACTCCAAGATAATGTGTTTATAGGTTCAGTCGCCAAATAGGTTCTGGGTAAATATCTCAGCGTGTGAGTGGGGATTTGTTCTCACTCACGTCGCGTTCTCTATTCAGTTCTCACAAAGACTCATGTACTCATTTACCCATTCAACCCTGGGGGCCGATTTTCTTGAGATGGATTGCATATAGGCACAACTCTATAATAAACATTCCTCAATGATTCCTATATTTCGCTAGAAATCATAACTAGAAGCAATTCTTCTTCTCCTTCTCCTTCTTCTTCCTCTTCTTCTTCCTCTTCTTCTTCCTCTTCGTCCTCTTCTTCTTCTTCTTCTTCCCCTTCTTCCTCTTCTTCTTCTTCTTCCTCTTCTTCTTCTTCTTCCTCTTCTTCTTCTTCCCCTTCTTCATATTCTTCTTTCTCTTCTTCTTCCTCTTCTTCTTCCCCTTCTTCCTCTTCTTCTTTCTCTTCTTCTTCTTCTTCCTCTTCTTCTTCTTCCCTCCTCTTCCTCTTCCCTCTTCTTCCTCTCTTCTTCTTCTTCTTCCTCTTCTTCCTCTTCTTCTTCCTCTTCTTCTATGAGAATTCAAATCAATTTCTCTTTCAGCTCAAGATTTCAAACAGATTTCATTCAGGATTCAAACACCCCCATTTGATATTTGATATTTGATTTGTAAGCTGTAAGCTAGAAGCTGTAAAGGCTCAGCACACCTGTTACTGTCTGATTGGAGGGAAATGGAAAGAGAAGAGACGGGTCAAACGATTATTTGTGCACCTTCGTTACTCTTTTTTTTGCTCAAATTTGTTTGCAGCTGGTCAATCCTGCGATTGGGATTGGGATGGGACTCAATTGAGACATTGGGATGGGACTCAATCCTGGGGAGGAAAAATTCGAGTTTAAATGGGCTAAAAAGAAAAGAAAACAAAGGGTTTTCCATTCTACGTTTGCTTTTAAACAAATTCTCTCTTTTCCTCATAGTTATCATTGAGAATTCGGCTGAAAATAGATAGGGAATTGGTTTATGCAAATCGACGCATTTCGGGGTGTTCATTTCGTGGGGAGAAACCAGTTCTATTTATCAAAACGCTGAATATTCTATTTCTCAACGCTCGAAATGCTCAGCGACTGATTTACTGATGGTTAACTGAATATCTTTATCGTTCTATGGTTAACTGAATATCTTTATCGTTCTATGGTTAACTGAATATCTTTATCTTTCTATTTCTTTTAAAAATTCTTTCTTTTATTACCATTTTCCCTTAAAATTGTAAATTTTTGCAATTTTTGCAATTTTTGTTCAATTTTTGCAATTTTTGTTCAATTTTTATTCAATTTTCATAAAATTATTGAAATTTTAAGCACTCATCTCAAAAAAATGCTTCAATTCCTTCTCTTCACTCTCCTCAACACCATTTCATGCCAAATGATCGCTGAGCTCTTCGACAATGCTGTAAACAATGAAAGAAATAATACGATGACTTATGATCAACTTGTTTTACTGAAATTATTCATTTTTTTTTAGGTTACTAGCCCACCGCAACTTCTTTGTAATGAAGA